ACAGGGACAAGTTGGAATTTAATTATCGGAGCGCTGCCCTGCCAAAAAGGCAATTTCTGGCTTAGGGATAAATGAGTGTGCGTGTTTTAACGAGGGGTGCGCACGTGAAGCGAAAAAAAAAATCCTAAAAGTCCGGGGGGCCGGTAAACAACAAATCGGGTTTCAGTCATGCAGAACAAATACTGTACCGGGGGGAGAATGCGCGAAGTTCCGCAAGCCAAGACGAAAACACGGCGCGCGTTTACGCAGCGGCTACGGTGAAGGCGCAGCCCTGCAATTGCCCGCTCGCGCCACTACCACCTGCTGCAAATGTTGTCGAAACTGGCTGTAGCATCGTGATACGTGTTTGAAGGCGGTGTACTGGGAGAGATCCCCCCCCCCTACCCCCCCCGAGGCTATTTAAATCCTTATATTAAGTTCACTTGCTTGCTTGCTTGCGCACTTACGACCGTGCAAATCTTCCGGTCGTTTTTTAACCCACTTCCCGTGATCCAATCGAGCTGACATTTTGCACACATACTCGTTGTGCGTGACAATTTATTTTCGTGAAATTTTCCCCCCAAAATTTTACACTTTTTAGGAATTTTTTTAAATATTTAATTACCAATTGCTTAATGGTGGCAGGCAATCATCTGACCCATAGGTGGCAGCCATCTCAAGCCAGAGGACGAGAGGACTCTAGCCGCCACGCATGTAAAGGATTTATAGTTAAAAACTTTGTTTTTACGGGTTAATTTTTTTCACTCTTTCTCTCTGTTCCACACGTGGTCACACTTTACCCCACGGCTCACGGGGACCCTGCCGATCGGCTGTGGCGAACCCGTTTATCGTGCTGGCCGGATGGAGGAGGCGGTGGCGGGGGGAACGGAGGGGTGGGGGCAGGGAGCTTGACAAAAACTTTGTGCGGTTTCGTCCGTTGACCACCACACCGGGAATCAAATTGTTTCGGCGACCTCTGGGTTGTAAGTCCAGTGCGCTGACCGTTACACCACTGTGGCAGCGTCCGGGTGGTGTACGCGCTTGTGTGTGTGTGTTCATGTGTGTGTGTGTTCATGCGTGTGTGTGTTCATGTGTGTGTGTGTTCATGTGTGTGGGTTCATGTGTGTGTGGGTTCATGTGTGTGTGTGTTCATGTGTGTGTGTGTTCATGTGTGTGTGTTCATGTGTGTGTGTGTTCATGTGTGTGTGTTCATGTATGTGTGTGTTCACGTGTGTGTGTGTTCATGTGTGTGTGTTCATGTGTGTTTATGTGTGTGTGTTCATGTGTGTGTGTTCATGGAATATAAGGTCGACTCGACCTCAGATGCGTTCCTGGTGCGGTGTGTAAAAACATCGCCACTGGGGAGACAAAGGCGGCCGGGCGTGGTGCTGGCCACCCACCCACCCCCCTCGGCTGCCGTGCCGGCCTCCATAGGTGCTCGCTAACAGCACTTGCCCAGAAGGTCTGTTTAGGCTATATACAGGGAGAGCTTTATCTTTGTTACGAAGTAAAAACTCCCGCATCAGAAACTGCAGATTTTCTAGGTACACAACACAAAACTAGCTGCTGTACTGCGTTGGTTCAGACGTGCGCGCGCGCGCGTTCTACTTTCCTGCAGATCTGCGAAATGTGGAATTTCTTTTGGCTCCAAACTGCGTGGCAGCACGAGGCCATGGCAGGAATGCTCTCTTTCTCTGCGCGCGCGCGCGCTCACGGAAAACTCACTCGCTCATCAATTCCCGCACGCGCGCGCAGTTTTGGCTTTTAACACACAAAGCAATCGCTGTGCAAAAAAAAAAACCCCATCTGCTGCAAATGTTGTCGAAACTGGCTGTCTGACAGATTATCCACGAACCTGCAGCATCGTGACACGTGCTTGATGAGGCTGCCAGAAAACAAAACGCGTACCGGATTCTCGCCGGATTATAAGACGCTCCGGACAGTAAAGACGCATGGCCAAACTTTTGCACCGGTGTCGATAAAGTTATACAAATCCGGTCACATGCACGCGCACACACACGTACATCCACTAGATTACAAGACGCACCTCCAACTTATATATTTTTTGCGTCTCAAAATGCAGGGGGAAAGCGTGCAATAACATCTGGAGAATGCGCTATCTATTAAGTAGATATATATTTTTAAAGTAGAACATTTCACTCAAGATTATTTCGACCATCATGTCCAGACCCACGTTGGCGTGTTTACGTACGTTCTGTGTCTGTGCTTTTCGTGTGTGACGAAGACCACTGCCCAAAAGGTTCAGGTCATCTACCACCTGCCCCAGCTCGCCGGCCCTTCCCCTCGGCTTGTCCCAGGGTTTACGAGCCACGGCTTGAGGGTAGAATGGTTGAGGTGGCTTCTCGTTTTTTTTTACGAGACACCGTCACTGCTTGCGGTTCAAGATTTAACACCTAGGACGATATATTCTATGGGTGTCCCTATAACAGTATGGGCCCTATGTAATTCTAGGGTCTGTTGATCTTAGTGTAATTATCTCTTAAGTCTACGGATCTTCATCGAAATACATGGGTATCTGCTTAAGCCTATTAGGGTCTGTGTAAGTCTATGGGTCTCTGTGTAAGTCAATGGGTCTCCGTGTCTTATTATTCCTGAGTTCTCTGCCCGAGGGCAGGGCCATGGCTCAAGTTCCCCGCCCTCCCCCCCCATCCGTTTCGAGCCCGTCGCTCGCAACACCACACAACACCACACTCCACGCTCAGGTTTCCTCGTGCCCATCCGTGGCAGTGTTGTTTTGGTGACACCATCACCGGATGCAGACTAAATTTATATTAATTCGTAAAGAACGATGAATCAAACTGTGGCAACCGCACAAACCGAGAGCACATGTTAACGGTTAAACTCTGTAATCTGGGAAGCCGATTGCGAAACGCAAGAAATTCAGTTAGAGAAAAAAAATCCCATTCTGACATCTTGCCTCGTGACCGTGTTTACGTGGTTCGGCAAACTCCGCATCGTTCAACACATTCGACTCGTGATGTTTAATAATTTACAGCCCCCTTAGAGTCAATCCACTGTTGGATGAAGGCCTCCCCATGCCCTTTGTCAGTCTTGGGGTATTGTTTGACCGTACGCGACCACGGCGGTAAATGCTGGCCGTCGGAGTGGGTGGGAGCCTGGTACTGGTTCAGATGTGGGGGCCGTTGGCCCCCGGGGTCCCTCCCGCCTGCATCCCCTATTTCGTTTACGTTACCCCACCTCCCTATTACCCGCTACGGTTTCGCCGGCATTCGAACGCGACGCCCCTACTGTTACAGCCTCGCGCCGCGCTCCCACGCTGCGAGCATACGTGCGCACATCATCGTCAATCAAACGCCGTGCTCGCAGTATAGCCCTGTGCGGCACGTTCCCAATGCGCATCCGTATCCGACACGTAACGAACGTACGCACACACACACCGCTTCGTGCACTCCAACTCCACACGGACTACTCAAGTTACGATCGCGCACCTGTATCACACACGGAGTGAGCACACACGACACCCACTCTCGCACCGCGCTGCGCAGCGCTCCCCCGAGGCGAGCCGCAGCACTACAGGATCACTGCGTACACACGCGCACCCACACGCTCACACTGCACGACAAGATCACGCGAGACCACGCTTCGCTATTAATGATTTATTATATGTTACCTGCGAATTGATGTTGAATCAGTGAGTCGACGAGGCTGGCCTATTCCACCCAAACCTGTACCTATTCCCTATTTATCGGCTTACGCTACCCTACTTCACCTCCCCACTTACTGTTTGGTGCTCGCGGAGGTTCGCTGCTCTCTGCGCTAACAGCGCACCTCGATGCGTCGCACGGACGTCCGGGTCGCTGGCTGGAGCTGCTGCTGATCCGCTGGCCTGGAGAGAAGAGAGCTATTTCCCCTCTGCGCCCCTCTATTTATCCTCCCTACCTCAAAGGGGATGCTGCGCTAAACAATGGGCTCGCGATCCTCTGGCACGCGCACGGCGATTCTGGGCGCTGTTGATATGCTAATCAGTGTGCTGCGTGCAAGGCGTAAATCCTAATTAATCCCTTACCCTCCCTAACAATGGGGCCTGCGCGCTCAAGCGCAATTATCCCAACCCTCCATGACTATGCGCAACAGCCCCTGTGATCCCGCTATTCATGCTGTCCCGTGCCTCCCCTGCTTGCCCCGTCGACTCGTGGGGGTGTGTGTGGGGGGAAATGCGCCTCAACCGCGGTGGCCGAATGCCCCACGCCGCGACCACACCATATTAAGGCCGGCCGCAGCGCCGCGGTGCCACGTAGCACGGGGGAGGTCATCCAATTCCCTGATCGCCGGAAACCGTGAGAATTAATCCCGATAAGGGTCTCTCGGATAAAAACCGGTCGGCCAGGCGACCTCCCCTCGGAGCTCTATGGGGGGGGGGGGGGGGGGGGGGGGAAATGAGTGCGGGTGTGTTCATGTGAGGTGAGGTGAGGGGGACGCGGGGTCGGCTCCGTTGCTTGGTGGTGGCGAGGTCGGGGATTTGGTGCCTGCCAAACGGCTTCGCGGCGGCGGCATCACATAGACATCACTCGTCACTGGCGTTAGCCGTGGCCAGATATCTGGACGCTGGGCGGCGGGTTCAGAGTGCGGCGTTGCTGCTGCTGCTCCACCCCTTGAGACAGATTGCGTCTGCAACTGGCTTGGGTTTCCCCCTGACCGGTTTCAGTGGAGTCATCGTCATTAGCCAAGATCGATCAACTGTGAATGAAGGCCCCCTCAAAATGTCACAAACTTTCACGGTCCTGTGATGCAACAATCTGTCCGGCCCCTGCAATAGAAGGTGATCTCATCGCTCTATATCCTCTCAGGCACGTTCCCTCCCGGCCACGATGGACGCGAATGATTGCGGTGCACGATTTGACTCGTGTATCGCGAGCTAAAAAAAAAAATCGATGGATTGGTGAATTGTTTCACCGCTGGTGCTCGCAAACAGCACTTGCCCTGACAGTCTGTGAAACGAAATAATTGATCGCAATCTGTGCGTGTGCGTGCGCGTGCAGAGCGCACGGCGTGGGCCGAGAGTGTCATCACGTGGCCGGGAGAGCAGCCCCAGCACCTGCACGGCGCTCGCGGCGATGCGGACTCGTACCACGGCGAGTCTCCGGCCCCACCACCGCCACCGCCGCCGCCGCCGCCGCCTCCGCACTCCCGGCCGCTGCCACCCGCCACCGCCGCTCCCCCCCTCGCCCCCGCGCCCCCCACGGACAGTGCCCCCGCACCGCCGGCCCCCCCCGTCCCCGCCGCCCTTCGACCCCCCGCCCCGCGAGGCCGCCACGCGCGGAGCGGCCCGCCGAGTGACGCTCCCTCAGCCGCCGCGGGTCCCGGCGGCCCCGGCTCGTGGAGGCCCCCGCGCTGCTCCCCCTCCACGTCCCCCGGCGTCTCGTCCGCGTCGCCCTCGATCTCGTCCTCTTCCTCGGCGGCGTCGCCGTCGTCGCCGTCGTCGGCGTCGCCCAACTCCGGGCCGTCGTCGCCGACCCACGCGGGGCCGTGCCGGGGCACGCGCAGCCCCAAGGGGTCGCCCGCGCCGCCGCTCTCCCCCGACTCCTCCAAGCCGGATGACCTCAAGAAACGGTGAGCGGCGCGTGCCGTGGGTACGCGTGCAGGGGGCCCACGGGCTCGAAGGGGCCTCTGTGCGATGGGCCAATGAAGAGGAGGGACATTAAGACAGGGGTGGCAGCCGCCCTCCGTCATCGACGGAGCGATGCTCACGACTTTTGAGCGGAGCATCTGGCAGTCGAAGCACGTGGCGGCTTGGTTCAAGCAGAGGTCACGTGCAGGCTGAGCAACGGGCAGTTACCCTGAGTGCGTTAATCTGTGACACGTGCACCTATCCCGTGGCCACCTGCCAACGAGACCTTCACCACTTCACGTGGTCTCAAAGTGCACCTATCCAGTCAAAAGCTGATTGCCACGTGTTATCTGCACCTGGCTTTGGAGTTCCTCTCGACCAACTCAGCCTCAAATAAGCGTCCGGTGCGAGTGTCACAATGGACATCGGGTATTGGGGAGATTGCAACAGCAGGCAGGTGGAATTAGGCGTTGCATTTCTGGTCACTTCACTCAATGATGTGCTGTGCCACCCTCAATGGGCGCTGTGCCGTCCTTAATGGGAGCTTGCTAAATGTAATTTCCCCACAGATGCTTGTCTCTAGTAGGTATCGCTAAACACCGGCGATTCGCAACCCTTGATATTTGACACATTCACGAAGCCGCAGCGTGGCATGGGCCCACACACAAAAACAACAAGGATGTGCTCATCATTTAAAATGCGTAAAATCCCTACGTTTCTTGACCGAGTTTCGATCAACGTGCACTTTCTTCAATCGATGAGACTTGCAGGTTGTTTTATTTGGAGTTTCTATCATTCGTAATGTTTTATAATTGGCCAGAACGTTTTGCCAATTTCCACCGTTGCCCATTAAAGCAGCACATAGTGACCCACCCCAGCTTAATCATTATCATCATTATTATTCAGTGACGTTGTGGGGGGGGGGGGCTGTTGGCAGGGGGGGGGGCTGTGTGGGTTATATTCGATTGACGGGGATATTTAAATTCCCCTTACGGATGAAAGGAGGAGCCGAGAAGAACGAGGAGCCATTCGAGCCTCGTGCCTGTCGCACTAATGATTGACGTCAGTCAGATTATCTCTTAATCAGAGTTCAACCACCGCTCCCTGGGAGTGGGGGGGGGGGGTCAGGGGGAGTATCCGCCTCCCCCTCCATCCAGGTGTCAGCTAGGGCTGAACGATTTGGGGAAAATATCTAATTGCGATTTTTCTGAGATATTGCGATTGCTATTTGATTTGCGATAAAAAAAATTAAAGTCAAACTTCAGTTCAATATTCACTGTTTAATAGATTTTAAACATGTGATGAAGCATTACCACATGATACCAGAAAAATATGAACTGCTCTATATATTCTCATGCAAGGATGAGAACTTAAAAGATATGAATTGCTTCCAACATGTATTTATTAAAATGTTTTGATTGAAATAGAACAATCAAACATAGAACAATCAAACATAGAACAATTGTTAAGTTAAATAAATAAAGTTATAATAAGAAAAAATAAAACAATTCCAGTAAGAAAGTAATAGGACTTTTCAAATCGCAAAAAATCGCAGCCTTTGCGATTTGCTAATCGCGTTGGTTAAAATTGCGATTTCGATTTGAAATCGATTAATCGTGTAGCCCTAGTGACAGCTGCCTACCGTATGGATCAGTTTGGCATGTATTTAAAAAATAATTAATTACATTTCAATGGATCCGTTCGGATCTCTCGCAGGGCAGTGCTGCCTTCAGTGTTAAAGAGTGGCACGTGGAAGTGGATATCACGGAGCTACGTCTGAAGTCCCTTTAAGTGACCTCTGGTCCACACAAAAGAGGGCAGCACTTTCCCACTCGCCCAGTCCCTGAGAATAATGTTCACCGCACGACGGTCAAACCCATCTTTAGAATTCTCAGGGCCGGAATTTAGCATAATTCATCGCAGCACCAGATTTGTTGCGATGGCTATTGCGTGCGCCTGCACTGACAATCATCAACTCGACGCATTTGAGAACCCGGTTGAATCACAGATGGCCAGAGCTTGGATTCGAACCCAGGATGCCGACGCTGGCGGCTCGGTGCTCCGACCTCTGAGCCACCTGTGCACCTTTGGAGTGTGCGTTTTAACAGGGGCACCGCGCTCTTGCCGTGGGGTTTATGCTGCCTAGCGGTGAAAATAACTCCAAACGAGAAATTCCCACGCGCCTGATCGGGCCCTGTCCATTGTGACCACGAGCCAGCAGCCTGGCGCCGTTTGCAGGCAGTGCGGAGCGGCGGTGCAGAGAGCGCGTGGCAACCACGATAAGCAAACGTCGTTCGTCCCGCGGACGGCGCGCTGAGGTCACGCCGCTCGCGGTTAAACGCGCACCGTTTCGCGTGGGATATTCGTCATGCAAGCGAATCGTGGCGGGGGGCGGACAAAGCGCGCGCGTGCCGCGAGTTCCCGCGTGGGTGGCGGATGGCGTTTGACCGTGATGCATCCTGTCCCCAAGGCGTCGCGTCCCCCCCCCGGTGCGGCAGGAGCCGCGTGTTCCTGTCCCTGCCGTCCTCTGACGCTGCTCCGTGGGTTTGTCCGCCCTCGTGTGTGTTTGTTGTTATTGTTGTTACAGCGCCGGCACGCGGGAGGCGCACAACAAGCTGGAGAAGCACAGGTGAGCGGAGCGGGGGGGAAGGGGGGGGTAGCGCACACCTGCGTCGGCGGGTTGCCGCCTTTAGCGGTGGGCACGAGCCACGAATGGCAAAAGCTTCCTCTTCTTCTTGTCGTACGGCTGCTGATGTGGACGCTCCACCCAGGTGTACAAGCTCGGGTAACCGCGTCATCAGGAGCAGCGGAGTAGCGTATCCGCTGCGACGGTGTCGCCTTCGGATTTGTGGATCCATCAGGGCGTTGCGTCGTTGTACCGTTTGCGCTCCTTGTTCCGGATGACCGCAGTCGCACACCGCTGGAGAGTTTGTAATTTGTACATGGCAAAAAAACCTCGCAATTCGTCGACAACAACGGCCCTGAAGAGAATAACGCGTGCAGTGCAATAGGCGACATGTTGGGGAAGTGGCTCTCGTTCGTGCACGGAGAGGGACAGCTGTTGTGGAAGGGCCATTCTTTGAAACATCGCCTAATTATCTTTTTTATATTTCTTCCTCACTTCGGGCAGTGGCTGTCAAAAAAGGCCCACTTCCCGAAATAAGGGCAGTTTCCACAAAAATCTTCCCGGCACGCAATAAAAGTCCCGTTTTTATTTGTCAGTTGCGTAACAATTCGCCAACCGGGACGGCATTGCGAGATGTCTTCTTCATCTCCCGACCGATACATTCCAGTCATTTGTACTTGAGAGGTGTGGCAACCTTAGTGGGGCCGATAGTCACGACCGCCTTACCGAGCTCCGTCGATGACTCGCGGAGGTGCGAGCCCGCTATGGGAAGACGGCGCTGCCAGGTTTGTGCTTTTTGACAAAACCGATCACCTGCCATGGTCCGACCTGGCCTTGACTCCGGGCCACAGCTAACATCGGCGGCAAGCGATTATATCTGAACCGGACGCGGAAGAAGCGTCCTTCGCCAACGCGCACCGAAGCAGCTTGGCGAAGTGCGATCAAAACAACGCCGTTGGCGCACATGGAATGGGGGGGGGGGGGGGGGGGGGGCTTCGTCCAGCATTGGACTGGATTGACAAAGGGGCTTTAAAAAAAAGTTCATAAATAATCCTCACCGGCTGGTGAGGATGCCCTTAGCTGTTGGTATGGGTGGGGGGCGGGGCTGATGGGGGGAAATGCGGGCTGCCGTACGCAATAGTTATTGATACGTCTGGAAGCCCAAAATGTCATGTTCTATGAGCCGATTGACATCCAGACCACTCGACGTCACGAGTGAAATGCGCTATTACCCTGCGAGTCGCGTGTGATGGCTTAAACGTGGACAGCAACGTCACATGCCTGCCCTACCTGAATGAAAAAAAGAAATCGAGGCCATTTATAATTCTGCAGCGGTTAAAGCCTGCGTTCAGAATCGTGCCCTGTGACCAAATCACCCTGATTTGCGCCCAATCTCATTGGACCTTGGAAACTAAGCAGGGTTGAGCCCGGTCAATACTTGGGATTGATGTTGACAAGGGCTTGCCAGGTGTTGTAGGGTGTGGGCTGCGAGGTGTGGCCAGGAGATGGCATTGTTTGGTGGGGTTTCCTCTAGCTTCCCCCCCCCCTGGCTTACTCAAACAAGAATCCAAACTCTCGTTCGTGGAACTGGCAAAAACATCCCAATGTGGTAGGCCCCCTTCCTAAATTCTCTTGAGACTCATTCCTGATTGGATATATAACAATAATAACACCAACAGCGAGCATAACAATTTCCTGGAAATGTCTGTGCAGCTATTTCTTAGCCGCCGACGCAAAAGCGACAACAAAGAGGAATCCTCAAAAACATTGGCGGGCCGTTATTAACGCAGGCAGGACCCTCCTGAAAATGAGTCTTGGGACTCAGTCGAGGCTTTCCCGAGTGTCCGAGACTGTTTACATATTTGTTTAAGGTTCAAATTGACACTGTTAAGTCGTTTGCCCTCGGCGACCTGAGTGTTTAACAGCGAGCTGGGTCTAGCCAGACCGCTCCTGTCCACAGCGGTCTGCTCTGCCCACTCCCACCAGCCGGGCCGTCAAAATAACGCTGCCTCTGTACACTTGGATGGTTTATTCATGAGACCACATACTGGGCGTGGGAACGATCGAGGTGCGGGCTTTGTTCGTTTAACTTTTTCAACATCGTAACATGGAAGAAAATGTTTTACTCTAAAAATCAAGTCGATTACACTGGTCAACACACTTTTTCTGGCATAAGGTATTCCAAATCTGGCATCAGTTTTTGTCTATCACATCAGGTTTTTGAGATATCAAATATTGCATTTTCAATAAAAACTGTAGAAGAAAAATATTAAATAAATGTGGATATCTACATCAAATTATATTATAAACACACTATCCTAAAAATACAGCACCATATTATAACATTAAAGCATTCACTGACTCGCAACAACTTGCAATCATAAGTGACAGAGTTAATTTCGGGTAAAATCAATGAAAATGGGGTATGCCGATAGCATAAAAATGAGATGTGATAGAGAAATTAGTCTAAAACAGCTGCAAAAGTCCAGGCCAGAATTTTTTTTTTTTCTTGACCAGTGTTATCGGTTTACTGACCGTCACCGACCTGCACTGACCAGAGTAGCGAAGTATGGTCAAACAAGCTCCGTGACTGACACGCCTTGGTAAGGCGTTCATCCAGAAGTGGACTGACGGACGGCCGCACGAATTTAACATAGATTGTGTATGTAATTGGGTTGTTGCATGACCAATGCCGTCTTAACGTCTGCCGACATGACATCACGAGGGGAGGCAAGCACACCGCAACTTTTGTTATGCAGCCGATCGGAAAATGGAACTTCAGATCCTTGGTGCAAACGACGGACGTGCTCCCGTGTGTGTGTGTGCGCGTGCGTGGATATCTGCAGGCGGGCTCAGCTAAAGGAGAGCTTCGAGGCACTCAAAAGGAACGTGCCCAACATGGGCACCAAGAAGACGTCCAACCTGGACATCCTGCGCGGCTCGCTCAAGTACATACAGGTGGGCATCGGCTCGCAGCAGCCCCCTCGCGTCCGCACAGCGCCCCAAAACCCCAGATCCACACGTATCCGCATCTCCGCATCTCCACGTTCCCACATCCCCACATCTCGACATCCTCGCAATCCCCCCCCCGTGGTGCCCTGGCCCCTCCGGTGAACCGCGACTAACTCCCGGTGCAATTGCACGGCCTGCACACGCTCGGTTGCTACTCAACTGATGCCGCCCACGCATCGACACAACCCTGTTTTGGAGGTCCGGAGGGCAGACGTGTCGACGGAGTTTGACGGGTTGTCGCGTCCTTGTTACGGCTCTCGTGAGTTGGCTGGGTGTGGTTGTCGAGATTCTACAGCCGTGAGCGGTTAAAAGACCGCCTGTGTTTGCGGCTGTCTGGAGTCTCTCTGCTGTTGCGATTGTTCGGCCGTGTCGGAGCTGTCAGGGACTCTGCGATTGTGCGATTGTTGTTGTTGTTGGGAGTTGAGCATCTGTGCGGATACGGAGCATTGTGCGTGCGTGCGCGCGCGCTTTTGGGAATCTCGCCCCTGTTGCAGTTGCTCCAAGTGTCATCAGCCGTTTGCTGTTATTTGGGCATCAGTTGATTGCGGGTGTTAGCCGTCCCGTGGTACCTGCTGTTTGCAATTGAAAGAAGACACCCGTGTTGCGAGCCGTTGGTGGGCTACGTGTTTACTGCGGCTGCAGGGGTGATAGCTGCGTGCGGTTATTAGGAACCTCGCTCCGCCGGGCGGTGCTGGCCGCTCACACCTGTAATGCAGCACTGCGGAGGTGGAGGATTGGTGGATCGCGCACAAATGTTGTGTAACTATTCCCGTGGGCGTCGAGGGTTGGAGCCCCGTACCCCGGCTCGCCAGGCAAGGAGCGGTACAGCAAAATGCAGACCTCCACCCGTTCCACCTGTGTGGGATACAGTGTTGCAGCCTCGCTCGCGTAAACACTCATTAATTGTCCGATAGTAACAACCTTGATCTGTTCGTAGACCACAGAGCTTGGCGGGGGGGGGAGCTTGTGACGCCGGCTCACCGCCTGTCCGCTCGTCCGCGATTCCTGCCGACCTCTCTCCTCGAGGGCGAGCAGGTCCAGCGCGGTTGAAACCATGATACGATATTGTTCCTCGTGAACGATAAAAAAAATTGCAGGTCTTGCACGGCGGCCGGAAGCCTTGTTTTGTTTGCGGTCGTCAGGGTTCTCGCCCATGTCGAGCGGTGTGCACGTGGGTGTCCGGCGTCCGCTGTCGGGGAACGCGATCGTTCTGAGTCACGTGGCTGTGCGGTTAAAGCCCAAGCCTCTGCGGTTATTGGGAATGTCGCCGATTCGGGCTGCTGCTCGCGATCGTTGGGACCGCTGATGCAACGCAAGCAATCGCCTCCTGCGTGGGCCAAGTGGCAATGACGACATTGATGGTGGTGGTGATGATGGGGGTGGTGGTAATGATACTGGGCGTCACCGGCCAATTAACGGCGTGTGTGTTGCAAGCGGTGCGTGGGGTGCCACATTCACGATCACCCAGCTTACACCACCACCCCCCCGCGATGATGATAATGACGATGAAACATTTACCACATTTGCCCAGCCGCACGCCTGCTAATGTGTTCCCATACAAAACACGCGGCGGGGGTTCGCAATTGTCTTGTTAATGACGTGAGGTTTTAGAACGAAAATTAATGACGGACTGCATTGATAGCGGTGTTCGACGTTTATCCAGGAAAGTCACAATTTTAAGTATCGAAACTGAGAGGTTCCTGCTTTTGAAATGTTTGGCCAATGCCATTTAAGTAAAGGGCGTTTTGGTATAAAAAACACACACTTAAGTCACATTTTCACAAACTATCTTTGACATTTCAAGAATGTGTGTTGCTTCTGGGCGTCTGCTCTGCTCAAAACTGTTCATTAATGAACTTAAAACGTCCCACTGTACAGTACCCGACCCTGAGGTGGCTGTGGCCAAATCATCCGCAATGCCCCTACTGCCTTCGTCATAACTCGGAATCGCAAGTGGATTGACGACCACGATGCATATCAGGTGTTATAGGCTAGGGAGGAGGGGGGGGGGGGCTCACGTGGTCGGTCGCACAGGGCAGTTCAGAAGAAAGTAATTGTTGTACTGCACTTCTATACCCCCCCTTCCACTACATCTATGCTACCCGTCTCGAGCAAGCTGCCACTCGTCAGTGGCGATGACGCATTGTCAACTAACCACGACAACCCACACAACGTGGGGAGGGGGTTGGGTGTTGTGGATGGTGGCGACGGTGGTGCTAAAGTGCACCTAGCCTGGCACAAGCGCCGTGGTCACGTCACCGCCGCTTAGTGGCGGGCGGCGGTTGTTGTTGCAGTCGTGGTGACGACGACTGAAATGGGTCAGGCGGTGGTGGTGGACGACGATGATGTGACGGTGGTAATAGTTGTTGGTGATGGTCGTGATGGTGGTAATGATATTGATGGTAATGATGAAAGTGTTAACAGCTGAGGTAAAGATGGTGGTGGTGATGGTAATGGTGATTGTGGTAACAGCTGAGGTTGATGGTGGTGGTGATGGTAATGGTGATAATAGTGGTAACAGCTGAGGTGAAGATGGTGGTGGTGGTAATTATGATAGTGGTAACAGCTGAGGTTGATGGTGGTGGTGATGGTAATGATGATTGTGGTAACAGCTGAGGTAAAGATGGTGGTGGTGATTGTGGGAATGATGATGATGGTGGTGGTGGAATCAGTGCTAATGATGATGGTAATATTGGTGGTGGTGGTAATAGTTGTGATAGTGGTAACTGGTGGTGGTGGTGGTGATGACGTGGACGAGGAGGGATGTAGGGGGGGGGGGTGAACAGGAGACGAGAGGAGGTCGTGGTGGGTGGGGTGATGGGGGCATTTCGGCCATGTGAGTCGCGCCCACGTGGCCGCGTGTGTGTGTGGGGGTGGTGCACATCGTGTGGCCGCGTGTGTGTGTGAGTGTGGGGGGGGTGGTGCACATCGTGTGGCCGCGTGTGTGTGTGGGGGTGGTGCACATCGTGTGGCTGCGTGTGTGTGGGGGACAGTGCCGGATTAAACTCAGTTCGGGACCTGCAGCAAATGTTATAAAGGGGCCCTATTTTATTTTAAAAAGAACCCCCACAAATAACTTGCACAGTAAAGTAATTGTATTTTTTCATTTGTTATACAGCCGGCTAATACGACGAATCGCTAACCTGAAACAGCCAGTCGTTCGTAAAAGTTGAAGGCGGTATAGTACTATAGTAATAGAGCAAGTGCAGAATCACTGAACCGGAATTGATAGCTTGAAAGCAATTAGCGCGGGGCCCTTGAAAGTGCGGGGCCCGTAGCTACTACACATGTAGTTAGTACATGTGTAGTAGCTACTACATATGGGTAGCTACTACATATATAGCTACTTTTGCTACTGGGATAATCGAGCACTGCTGCTGGGATGTTTAATATCAGCATTGTAGAGACAAAGGCGGCCGGGCGTGGTGCTGGCCACCCACCCACCCCCTCGTGTGCCGTGCCGGCCTTTACAGATGCTCGCTAATAGCACTTGCCCCAACAGCCTTGGGCTTGTTTAAAGGCTACTTGGGGGTGGATCTTTATCTCTGTGGGTGTGTGTCAGTGGTGGTTTAGTGGTTTAAGCGCACAGTGCTACAAACTCGGCGACCTAAATTCTATTCCTGGCCGCAGCTAAAATCAGCGACGATTATCTGAACGGATCATGCCGCCCCACGTGTAGTTTTACACTGTGTAACACGATTTGTTGTTCCTTGGTAGTAAGTGCTATTTTCTAATTGATTATGCTTCAAAAGTATAGAAAACGGCTCTTATTCCCCACAAACTTTGCTTTTGTAACCAGGTCTTTACGTGAAGGAATGACACAAATGCACACCATTGAAAATAGGTACATTTCAAAATATTACTGTCCTGGTCACAAAAGCATAGTTTGTGGGGAATCATAGCCATTTTGCTGTACTTTTGAGGCATACGCGATTAGAAAATAACACTTACTACCCAGGAAGAATTTTTTTTTGCTACACAGTGTTATCAGCACTGGGGAGACAAAGGCGGTCCTGGCCCACCAAACCACTCATGGTCTGTGGGCGGCCCTTTTCACGCCACGTGCGTTCAGACCCTGCCAAGTTTTGTGTTAGTCTCCTCTTCGTCGTTATGAATGGGCGTGATGGTGGTGGTGATGGCGCTCACGTGGAGAAGGCGTTGCACGAGGTTGCTTGTGACCTCGACTTTTCGATTCTCGCTCACGGCCAACGACAGTGACGACAATTTAGTACTGGGGGGGGGGTCCTCCTCATCCCCTAAGTCGGTGTGTAAACATCGCCACGAGGGAGACAAAGGCGGCCGGGCGTGGGTTCTGACCACAAAGACCCCCCGTGTAGCCTTAACAGACTGTTGGGGCAAGCGGTGTTAGCGAACACCTATGAAGGCCGGCACGGCACACGAGGGGGTGGGGTGTGCCACCAACCACGCCAGGCCGCCTTTGTCTCCCTAGTAGCTATGTTTTTACACACCGAACCACGTACCCATTTGAGGCTGAGTCGACCTAAGGGAGGCCCGGGACCGGTTCAGATAATCGTCGAACCGCCGCACCACCGCTCCCCGTGAGTCAGGCCACAACCCACCCCACCCCCTTCTTCCCGTGCCTTACCCGGGCCTTCCCGGGCCATCACGGACCATCACTTGCCCCAACAACTTTGTTGAGGCTACAGGGAAGGTGGCGGGGCGGGGTTACAATCTCTCTGTGTTTTATTCGCGTGCGTGTCGGTGGCGTCAGCCCTCTTCCACGCGCGGCCACGTGCTCGCGTCCACGTGGAGCGCAGAACAGCTGACTCGGGTGTCTTTGGGTGCGCCCGCATTGCACGGTGGTGGTGGCGGTGTTATTAATCACTCACACGCACCCTGGTTCGTTCAACAGACTCGTAAACAACTCCACCCCCACACTTACTTCAACTATCGAGCGTGCGTGTGTACACGTGGAGGGGTGTTTC